GAATCCAAACTCCTTTTTTTTTTTTGTCTTTTTCCGTGTCCGGCAACGGATCGCAACCCTCAGTGTCGCCCCCGTACCGGACCGGGACCGGCACCGGGATCGCACCCCTCGGTGTTGCTCCCGTGCCTCGCTCAGCCAGTGAGCGGGAACCGGTCTGTATATGGGATCCGAACCCTCGGACGGGAGCGCCGCCGCGCTTCCCAAGCGGCGCACTATCCAGTGCGCCACCGGGCCGGCCCTCAATTACGTAAGCTTTAAATTGCACATATCGTTATCAGTAAAAACATTATGACCACGGCATCTTAATAGAGAACCAGCATTTGCAGGGGTCTACTGTTGGCTTTATGAGTTACACAGAGTTCAGTGTAACAATACCTGGGTGTATAGAAGGATATTAATATTTCCAGCAGAAGATCTAGTTCTTGTTCTCAGGGAACAGTAAGGCATCCTTGAAGTGTCCTGAATACAAAGTGCTTTTTGGACAGAAGAAAATTACTATGATAATTTCACTCTGCCAGAAAGAGTTTCTCTTCTCTGGAAAGAAATGAACACGTGCTGGGTAAGATTTTATTTGGGAAGCTGTAAGGGAGATTCATGTCTGTTCAAATATTTGTACAAAGCAGACATTTATATGGAATAACAAAAGACCATGCATAGCCAAAGCAATTCTGAGCAAAAAAAAAAAATCTGGAGGCATAACACTACCTGACTTTAAACTATACTACAAAGCTATAATAACCAAAACAGCATGGTACTGGCATAAAAACAGACACACAGATCAATGGAATAGAATAGATAATCCAGAAATCAACCCACACACCTACAGCCATCTGATCTTTGACAAAGGCACCAAGCCTATACACTGGGGAAGAGACTGCCTCTTTAGCAAATGGTGCTGGGAGAACTGGATATCAATATGCAGGAGAATGAAACTAGACCCATACCTCTCACCATATACCAAAATCTACTCAAAATGGATTAAAGAATTAAATATACATCCTGAAACAATAAAACTTCTCAAAGAAAACATAGGAGAAGTTTTTAGGAGGTAGGACTGGACACAGACTTCATGAATACAATCCCAAAAACAAGGGCAACGAAAGGAAAAATAAACAAATGGGATTATATCAAACTAAAAAGCTTCTGCACAGCAAAAGAAACAATTAACAGAGTTAAAAGAAAACAAACAGAGTGGGAGAAAATATTTGCAAAATATACATGTGACAAAGGATTAATATACAGAATATACAAGGAACTCAAACCACTTTACAACAAAAAAACAAGTAACCCAATTAAAAAATGGGCAAAAGAACTAAATAGGCATTTCTAAAAGGAAGACATATGAATGGCCAACAGACATATCAAAGCCACACTGAGATACCATCTCACCCCAGTTAGGATGGCTAATATCCAAAAGACTGTGAATGGTAAATGCTGGCGAGGTTGCAGAGAAAAGGGGGCTCTCATACATTGTCGGTGGGACTGCAAAATGGTGCAGCCTCTATGGAAAATGCTATGGAGATTCCTCAAGCAATTGCAGATAGATCTGCCATATGACCCAGATATCCCACTGCTGAGAATATACCCAGAGGAATGGAAATCATCAAGTCAAGGGTATACCTGTTCTCCAATGTTCATTGCAGCACTCTTTACAATAGCCAAGAGTTGGAACCAGCCCAAATGTCCATCATCAGATAAGTGGATATGGAAACTGTGGTATATCTACACAATGGAATACTACTCTGCTATAAAAAAGAATGAAATACTACCATTCACACATGGATGGACCTAGAGAGAATTATATAAAGTGAAATGAGTCAGACACAGAAAGAGAAATATCACATGTTCTCACTTATTTGTGAGGGTTAAAATAAATAAGTAAATACACAAACAACCTGAGGGGGGGAGGGAAGAAGACAACAATTACAATTCCTTGAAGTTGATACAAGCGAACAGAAAGGAGATTGTTGGGAGGGAGGAGGGAGAGGGGGGAGGGAGGGAGGTTTCGGTAGTGGGCCACAATAATCAACTACATTGTATATTGACAAAATAAAGTAAAATTTTTAAAAACCCACAAATATTTGTACAAAGATCTTTACACTTTCTTCAAACCCTTGGATCCAGTGATTATAGGTTTTTAGTTGGTTGATTATCCTCAAGGACTGTGTGTGAGAGCAAAATACTGGAGATGTGAATGAAACTGAATTTCATCAGACACCACTTCCTAGAATTTTGAACCAAATTTTTTAGGAAGCACAGACCCTGTTTTAGAGTGTGGGTGAAAGGCATTTTGGGTGAGAATAAATTTAATGCAGCATTGAAAATAACAAACTCCAGCTACACACAATATGATGACTCTTAAGGACACAATGTTGAGCAGAAAAGGCAAGATTATAAGAGAATGTACACTAGGTGGTGGCTGGACTGGTGTGTCCTTATGACAATTTACTGAGCTGTATTCAATGACCTGTGCATGTTTTTATATATATATTAAACTTCAGTAATTTAAAGTACAGATCCTCCTTGACTTACAATGGAATTATGTCCTGATTAACCCATCGTATATTGAAAGTGCATTTAATACACCAAACCTACAGAACATCCTGTCTTAGCCTAGCCTGCCTTAAATGTGCTCAGAACACTTACATTAATCTACAGTTGGACAAAATCATCTAACACAAAGCCTATATTCCAGTCAAGTGTTCAATTCATTTAACTTATTTGAATATTGTACTGAAAGGGAAAAACAGACTGGTTGTATGCACACTTCAAGTATGGCTTCTACTGCATGTGTAACCTTTCACACTATAAAGCTGAAAATAGTAAGTTGAACCATTGCAAGTCAGGAACCATCTGTATACTATATGATTCTATTTATTAGGTTTCCCAAGAAAGGCAAAACAAAACTATTGCTTAAGAATACATACAAAAATAAATAAATAAATAAAAATATAAACAGCCAGTCTTGTGATCTGGGGATGCAGGAAGGGGCTTGTGATCAGGAGTGGGTGGGACTAGGAACCACAATAAGGGTAACTTCTGAAGTGCCAGTAAGTTCTATTTCTTGGCCTGGATGGTGCTTATACAAGCATTTGCTTTATAACTCTAAGCTGAATATATAAATTTTATGCACTTAAACCAATTTTGCAGATTCAAACCAATCTAAATGTTTGTCAATAGGGAAATACTTAATTATAATAGTCATGATGTATTATGCACCATTAAAAATGAGGCATTATAAGGACCTAATGTTCAAAATGTGTCCTAATCAAATGATCCAGCAATCCCTCTTCTGGGTATACATCCAGAGGAATAGAAATCATCATGTCGAAGTGATACCTGCACCCCCATGATCATTGCAGCTGTGTTTACAATAGCCAAGATATGGAACCAACCTAAATGTCCACTGATGGATGATTGGATAAGGAAACTATGGTATGTATACACCATGGAATACTACTCTGCCATAAAAAAGGAATAAAATACTCCCATTTGCAACAACACAGATGAGCCTGGAGAAACTTATGCTGAGTGAAATAAGCAAAGCACAGAGGGATAAATACCACATGTGCTTACTCATGTGGGAGCTAAGAGAGAAAGATGGAAGGAAAGAAAGACCACAGTAGTGCTTTGGTCTTACAGAGGGAGAGAACATTCCTGGGGCTCAAACTGGAGTTGGGGGAAAGGGGGAGGAGGGATGTTGGGGGATAATTGGGTGGGGGACCCAGGGTACAAAAGAAATATCTGGTAATGGATATGCTGCCAGTATGAATCTGGCCCTCACATCATGGGCACAAGGGGTGACAAGTAGCTTTGTATCTCATGAATATTCATTTTTAAAAAGTGTCCTAAAATGACAAAAGCCATGCTAGAAATGAATCTGGTATTATATTGTTTATGTTTATGCTTGTGTATATGTATCATGCATTTCTTACAATATTTTTATATATAATAATATATATGCAGATAATATTTTTAATCTCCAGAAGAATAGTTAAGAAACTAGTCAGTATTGCAGAGAAGAAGACTTCTTTTTCACTTTTGAATTGTGCATTATATGCATTTGTTGCAATTCAAATAAAAATGATCATTTACTTTTGAAAATTCTTGTTTATTACATGGTTCTTTCCAGATTTTATGACTAGGCTCACCTTTATTGCAAAGTACTTCAGCAAAGAAGAGCCACTGGCACTCAAAATACGGCTGGCCAACCATGGCCATGTTAATTGCACAAAGACTTTTCTAAACAAACGTTTCTCACATATTATGAACCTGGCACCAAGTAAGGTGCCAGAAAGAATAAAGATAAATGGGATCAAATCTGAGCACTTGGAAAGGGAAGTCAGGAAGGAAGAGGGAAAAGGAAAGGAGAGACAGAGGAGAACACTTGCTGCCACTGGAATTTCTCTTCATATGACCATTTAATTGTGCTGTGCTTTGTCTGTATGAAATGGTGTTAGGTCACGTTTCTTATCTTAACGAGTCTTAGAAATCATCTAGAAAACACATTTCTATAAATTAATCCCACAACTAGACAAAATATTGAATACTTCAGTGGTAGAATCTTCTGCGCTCTACCGGTCCGCAGCCCGCCGACTCTCTATCTCTGCTCGTTTGCACTCCATTCCCAAGAAGGCACAGATGAGATCTGGGTAGATGGGTTTTTCTCGTCTCTGCTCAGTTTGATATGCATTGATGGCAATGAAAAGCCAACTGATAGTGCAGCTGAGGTCCTGAGAGCCCCAGACAATGTGTGTGGAGGGCGAGGAGCAGAGAGTATTTCATGCCACAGATTGGAGGAGTTTCCATTCATTATTAAGGATGGAAGTACTAGGGTGAAGGAGCAGGAGCCAGAAAGATTACTTGTGTGAACAAAGAAGTCTTGCCTACTGCTTGTTGCGATTCCCATTTATCTGAGGTTATGTTTTGAAAACTGTTTCCTGAGGAAATTCGTCCAGATATTTCCCAAAATGGAGTGAGGGAATTGTGAAAGATTTGGGTCATCTCAAAGGACAGAGGTTTAGAAGCATTTCATTGTTGCAGTGATCCAAACCCATGTATGGCATTTGCTCTTCAAAATCCCAGATCCTGCTCTTGCCTGGCAGTGAATATTGCTGGGGAGGATGAGGGGTATAGCTGAGGAGAAAGGGGTCTTCCTGAGGTGAATGGTACGTGAGGGAAGGGACATAGCTGTTGAAATCCACAGACACCTTCTCTTCATAAAAATCACTCCCTGAGTTTGGCCACAATGGAGAACAGCTAGTTTTGGCTGCAGGCGGTTCCAGTGGAATCTGCTGGAAAAAAGGTTCAGAAGAGTTCGGGGAAGAAGAGAAGTCACCAGGCCAGCTGGTCAGAGGAAAAGGATAGTTGGGACAACAGCTGTCATTAATAGGATTTCTCCCCAAAGAGGCATTTTTATTCCATGTTTGCAGATTGTCATAATCCGAATAGACTCCAGAGAAGGAAGGCTGGAGCAGGTCTGCACTACTGTAGATCCTACTATTAGACAATTTGCATTTTTCATACAGTTTAGTGGGGTCCAAAGTAGAAGTCGTGTCTGCCAGATCGGTGCTTCCCCCCGAACCATAGCTTTTGGAGAAGGATAAGCAATCATTCAGTGAGTTCTGCTGGGGAGCGTTAGCTATTAAACGTCCACTGTAACTACCAGACAATTGGACGCCTTCCTGGAAAGACCAAGTTAAAGGTAAACTCCCCTGACTTTGTGTTTCACCTGGAAGAGACTGGAAAGGAAAGCGAAATGCTCACGTTAATAAGTTAAGCACATTGACACCACTACCATAGGCACCCACGAGTTACTCTGTATGAGTAAGTGCCCTGTCAGATTTTCCTCATTCCTTACATACTTGAAGCAGCTTTACCACAACCAGTCAAGACTTGAAAGAGGCCAAGACTGCCTCCATTTCCATTTTAAAGCTTGCTAACCAGTAAGAGGTGAATTTCCCTACACTCTGTGAAGACATGAGTACGTTTGAGATGTTTCTCATTCAAACAGAAATCTGATCTCCTAACTGCCTTTTCGAGAAACTTACAGGCACCTGTTTAAGAAAAATCATGCTACAGTTTCAAAGACTTTTATCATACACAGTGCAATTCTCAGGGGTATTTCCCCCCCGCCCTGTCTCTTTCTCATCATTTCCACCATTGACTTTTCTATTTTTTAGTGCTAGTTGTAGTCTGAGAGACCAGGGTTTTTTAGTTGTTGTTTTTGTTGTTGTTTTCTCCTCAAGAGACTTTTCTCTGAATTCATGGGAATTTTGTTGAATCATAAACAGAAAATCTAGAACAGGAAGTGTAAATTTATTTTTATAAATGGAGGATACTTTCTCCATTGTTCTCCAGTTAGTCCCAAGAAAAGAATTTAGTTGAGAATTAAGTTATGCTCTTGTTTATGTAAAGCAATCGGCTAATGACAGGACAGTTATAGGGATGGAAAGGGCTGTGACCGGGTGGAGTGAGTGGGAGGAGATGTCCTTTGACTTGTCCCATGGCTGGGAGAGATGATGAGGGACCAGCCATTTGGGTTTGGGGGTCTCACATTTCCTTACAACAGACTCAAATTACAATTTCTTCTATGTAAGGTACATTTAGAACCTCCAGAGATGGACCAGCTCCATCTCTGTTCTCCTGAAAAGAAATGTGGAGCTTTGAACTACAGAAAAAGTATAGGAATTACTATGACTATTAATCAGACAAACCCACAACCTATGATATGACGCCCACAAAGTGGTGGACTTCACATCACAGTTTGTCTATAGGGAGTCACCCACCACCACCCTTGTGTGACCATCATTTTCAGAAATTGCTTGTTTATTTCATCTTGGTAGAGTATGCTAAGGAAACAATCCGTTTGGGGGATGCGTGGAGATTTGGTGGGGGGAAGGATGAGGCTAATACGTTGTGGAGAACATTTTTGTTAATTTTGGTTTTATGAGAACCAAAATATAGAAATGCCAAATACAGCTGAAGTACTAATACAAGTTCTTTTTTTCATTGTAGTAGGGGAGACGATTCTACAATTATATGGAATTTATGGTTGAGAGCATGCTACAAAGATGGTAGAAATTAAGAATAAAACCTCAGATTCAATTCCTTTGGTGGATGCTCGTTTGTAGATGAGCCTGATAGTATATAAATTTTGGCTTTCATTTGTCGGCAAGGGACCGGGGAAATCTACTGCCCCTACCACAGGTGTGGCAAGCTGCTCTATGTTTTGAACACACATAATGAAAGGATACCTTTGTCTCCAGTCTCCCCTTCTGGTTTAAGGAGGTGGAGGAAGAGGTCATGTGTGCTTTCTTCATCGTTCTTCTTGCTTCAGATTCCAACTTGGTTTCTGGCTTAGGATGGTCATGCTCTCCCTTTGACTTAAAGCAGACAAGGAAGGAAAAAAAGAAGCAATGAAATAAATGACTAGATAGTACTTCATGGTGTGTAGGTTTTTACTCTGGGTCCTGCCACATGACTCAGAGGTGGTGTAGTTGCCTATTGTGACAAGACTGGATAAACCTTTGAAGTACCTGTGTTGCCTCTCACCCACACAGCAGAGTCATGTTCATAATGATAAGTAACGCTTAAGTGCTTCCTATAGTATGTGCAGGACACTAATAAACACACTGTGTGCCTTATCTCATTAAATGTTCAGCACAACCCTTGAGGTACATACCATAATTATCACTCCAGTTTACAGAATAGGAAACTGAGGCATGGGGTAATTATGCCACCTGGGTAACCTCTACTAATAAGTGGGGGACCCAGGATTCCCCTAGCTGGAGCTGGCCACACTGAGAACTGATTGTTAAATATTCAATAATTTTTTGAGCTGATTGTTAAAAATGGCTGGTAGCTTGAAATCAGCCATGATGGGAGTAGTTATATCACAGAAACTGGCAAATGCCTACAAATCAGGACATTTCTTTTTGAAGAGCTAGTTCGCCAGCACTCCACTGATTCAAACCCAGGCAGTCTGATGTCAGAATCCAATCTTCACCACTAGTTATGTCACACCCTCATTAGTACTTCCTACACATTTTTCAGAAAACTGGGGCTTAAGGGAGTAAAGCAACTTGTTCAGGTTTACAGACTTCTAGTTGAGAGTGAGAGCTGGTATTCAAACAGAGGTTCATTGAAGGCTACGAGCACACTAGCCTGGGTTTGATCAGATGGGCAGCTGCCCTCCTAGGGCTCTCCAGCACTTCAAACCTCTACTGAAGAGTGGGGCACAGACATTTGCTCCCCCAGAGTGTAAGCCCTCAGGGTTGGGGCAGGATCTCAGTCACCTGGTAAAACTCCTCTGTAATGATACTCTGTAAATTTAATTTGATACATTTATCAAATTAAAGGGAAACAGAATCACATAATTCAAATCCAACCTGGAAAAATATGAAGCGTCCGTCATGCCTCCAGAAGTTGGTGACCGGGAAGCCACCGTGGCCTCGGCAAGGAATTAGCTTCAGAGGCCCATCACAGTTGGGACAGCGCCTCCCTACAAAAGAGCATAGAAAGTGACCACACCTGACTGAACCATGTTGGTTGACTCCAGAGTCTGTGTAGCCTTGACAGTTTTAGCCTTGACTCGAGTGAATAAGCCTGGGCACAGTTTTATGGGCTTCCACCCACTGGGGATTACTCCTGACCCTAGAGGCCTGCCCAGCATAATGGTCCAGATCAGTCTTACACAAGGCTGGAGTAAGCAGTTATGTATCAAGTGGAATATTTCCCAAGTCAGGAAAGAGCTCTTCTAAGCAAAAAATCTCTCCCTACTTATTTACTGATATTTGAAATTCTTTGCAGTGGAAAAAAATTCTTTCATTATACAATCAGAAGTAAGGGACAAGGGGCAAAGACACATGGGAGAGGGAACGCAGCTACCAAATTTTCACTAAGGTGTAAATGAATGATACCAGGTCCTGCCCTGGCAGTAAGTTATGGAAACAAGTAACTTGAGGTCTGAAGTTGGCAAGACACAGGGAACACTGAATGTATCTATTTCATGGTCCAGTGAATATGATTTAAACAAACAAATATCTCAGCATGTGATTACATCATGAGCCTAAATGGATGGAATTGAGTCTAACCTCAAATTTAGTCCCACTGCTGCCAATTGAGATGAACGCACTCATTGAGATCACTTAGGGACCCATTGCTCAAGATGTCAGGTGGCAAGTCTGATAAACTACTTACTCCTAGATGTTACGTGGGTCGCTGATGAATTAATGTTTACCCCCTAAGTGATACGTCTTCCTTTTAACAGGGGCCTTGAGTCAGGTGCCTTAACCCAAGGGAGCAGTTTTCCTGGAGGGCGCTCTGATCATGACAAATATATGGCGCAGACACGGGGGAGAAGGGGGCTGGTTGGTGCCCCTTACTATGCTGTCTGTGGGAACAGCCTGGCCTCCACTACACTCCAGTGAGAGCGCTGGGCCCTCGGGATGTGCTGGGACATCGGGCCCATCTGGGAGAGGGGGTCTGAATGGGTGCTGCTTCCTTGCCGGGGCTGCCGTGTCCCACTCACTCTGCTGCTTCTGCCGGGCTTTGTCGCAGATGGCGGGCCTCAGGTAGATCTTGCGGCCCCCGTCCGCGGTGCAGTCACGGCTGCACACCACCACGCCCAGGCAGGACTTCTTGAGGATGCGGGAGTTGTGGTTGTTGGTGTTGCGCATGGCCCAGCTGCTCAGGTGCCGCTGCGCGCTCCTGTCCTCCGAGCTGTAGATATGCTTCACGTAGGAATCCGGCCACTCCTGGAACCAGTCGGTCTTCTTCACATTCTGATAGAAACAGGAAGCAAACTGTGAGAGTTTCAGCTAGAAAACACAACTGTCAATCACTGTGGACTGGATTGACTGGAAGGTTGGTTACGCACTCAAGAGCTGGGCGATTAGATCCCCATACCGGCCAGCCGCAATAAACAAACAAACAAAAAAAAAAAGCAAACTGTGAGAGTTTCAGCTAGAAAACACAACTGTCAATCACTGTGGACTGGATTGACGGGAAGGTTGGTTACGCACTCAAGAGCTGGGCGATTAGATCCCCATACCGGCCAGCCGCAATAAACAAACAAACAAAAAAAAATTTTTTTAAAAGAGCTAGGCAAGAGACCTTTGGCAAAGACCTTCCTAAGTTTAATCCTGACAGAGGGATCTGCCAGCACATCATGACAGCCACAAAGTGACTGCTGTGTCTGTGGAGCATTTAGTCGCTGGACCCAAATGGGTCATAATTTAGGCCCTCTGAGCTCTATCTGGTTAGTGTTTCTCTAGCCCTGGGTGATAAAAGTAATGACCACTTCTCAGTAAGAATGTTTAAGGATGAAGTAATATTATGCTCTTACACAATAACTGTGGAAAATATTGTGGAAGGACGGTGAGATAATGTCTCATACCACACTGTGCTTACCTCACTGGGAATCCTACAGGTTTATGCAAAGTCGCCAGAGATAAGAGGTGGGAAGACTGGAGAGTCCTGGTTCAGAAAGGTCCCGAGAGCCACTTAAACCTTCCCACCATCCCCTCCCCAGAGATTTTCTTCGTTTCTCTCTACATGGCAAAGGAGTAAGGAAGAGCTTGTTTTGACTGGAAACTTCTGTGTTCTTGTCAGGACTGGAACTATTCTGTGTGCCTGAACATCTGACTAAATTCTCCTTTAAAAGGTCAGAGACAAGGGGAGTTCTGAGTCAATGAACATAGAGTTTCAGTTTTGCAAGATGGAAAAGTTCTAGAGATCTGTTGCACAACAGTGTACGTATAGTTACCACTACTGTGCTGTACACTTAAAAATGGCTGAGATGGCAAATTTTGTGTTGTGTTTTCGACCACAATAAAATAATAAATTTTTTAAAAAGTTCAGGGACACAGAACACTCAATCTCTATAGCATAAGTTATTTTGCTTTCTGTGCCTCTGTTTCTTCACCTGTAAAATAGAGATAATGAGACCTGCCTACCTTGAGAGTGGTTCTGAAGGTTAACTATGATAATATAAATAAAATACTTAGCACTTGCCATGTGGTGAGCTCTAAATTAATGTTAGTTGCTGATGTGGTGCCTCATATTCCTAGGCTCTACATTGGTGCATAGGTGCTGCTTTTGACAGACCCTGTTTAGTCTTTAGAGTGAGAGTCATCAAGCTGTCTCAGCAGTCAAACTTAGGCTGTGCCCCTCCCCACATCTTTCAGAGACCTGGCATAGCAAAGAATGTTTTTCATCTAGAAGATTCTAAAAGGTCCAGAAGCAGAGATCAGGGTGCCTCTCCTTTGCTTCCCCAACGTGAAAGCACAGCACAGAATATGAGGGGGAAAAAAGAAAAAAAATTCAGAAGGAAAATTTTAGAATGTGCCAAAGAACTTTGTAACATGAGACTTTGAACAAATGACTTTGTCTCTGAAGCTTCATTTTGCTCTTCTTTAAAATGGGGATACTGGGGCCGGCCCGGTGGCGCACTGGAGAGTGCGCCGCTTGGGAGCGCGGTGGCGCTCCCGCCGAGGGTTTGGATCCCATGTGGAGACTGGTTCCCGCTCACTGGCTGAGTGCGGTGCGGGCGCAACACCGAGGGTTGCGATCCCGTTACCGGTCAGTAAAAAAGACAAAAAAAAAAAAAGGGGGGATACTGATAAAACCTGCCTCACAAAAGTGCTGTGAAGAGCAGATGTGTTGAAAACTCTAATTCCTATATAATGATACTTGTTTGAATGAAATGTCATGGGACTGAGGTGGTCTGAAGAAATATAAACGAGACGTTTTATGTATGTCCAGGGTTAAAAGCTGGGGACTGCAAACTAGGGCCCATAGGCCAAATCCAGCCCACTGCCTGTTTTTGTAAATAAAGTCTTATTGGAACACAGACATATTCATTCATTTAATTATTGTCTGTGGCTGCTTTTGCACTACCACAGCAGAGCTGAGTAGTTGTGGCAGAGACTGCATGGTCCACAAAGCCTAAAGTATTTACTATCTGTACAAAAGTACTAAAGTACAAAAACTTTGAGATTGCGGATGTGAATCTTAATGTCATTCTTTTGTCTCTCAATGCCTCCATTCCCTGCTCTGTAAAATGGAGGTAACAGGAGTATCTCACAGTGATATTATGAGGACTGAATGAATTAACATATGCAAAACACTCAAAACAGTGCCTGCAGAGAGCAGATTCCATATTAATGTTAGCTGTTACTCTACTAGATCTGGGGCCACACACACCTGTCAATGCAGTTGTAAGAGCCATCTGCTGTTGGGAGAGAAGACCCACAGAGAGGTCACTTTATGCTTTAAACTTGCCAATCCAAATGCAAGACAAGAGTCCTATAAAACAAAAGCTTAGTTGGTGTACCTGTTGTTCCACAACTTTCCCTCTCAGAGCAGTGACAATGGCTAGCACTTTGTGGGCAGTACTGTAACTACCATGGTAGGGAAGGGAAAGTAGTCAAAGAAGAGAAAGGGGACGGGTGCCTGGAATGCCTGGAGAAGCCCCTCTGGTCCATCAGGCAGCTATAGTAGCATTTCCCAGAGAGAGGCCCGGCCAGGCCAAGATGCCAGCTTTATTGTTTACTTTTTCAGGTCCTTCCATCTCCCACAATTCCCTGATAATTCTTAGCTTGATAAGATTTAATGCTGGAGTGAGAGAAGCACCCGGGGCATCACCTCTCCTGCTTTCTCCATCCATCTTTTCTTTCTTCCTTATTTCTTCTTATTAAAAGCCCCAAACAATGCTCTCATTTACTCTCACAGAAATGCCATAGAAAGCATAATCGAATATTTTATCTTATGAAATAATAAAAATACAGGTTAAAACATTAAAATGTGTACTTTAATATTTGGACCATCAAAATCTCTAGGTGGATTTGAACTATTCCATTACAAAGCACAGTTGTCACGATAGCAGAGACAAGGGCACTGTGGACTTAGAGAAAAGCTGAGATTTTCATGTGGTAAAGGCGAGTGGCCCCTCAGGCTGGTCACTGCCATAAATCCCATGAGAGTGTCTCAAATGCTCTGATTAAAGCAAAGACTTCCTCCTGCCTGTAAAGGAGGAGTAATCTCCACTGTCTTTTTAGCTTCCTTTTTTTTTTTTCTTGACAGCCCCTCCACTTGTACCCTAGTTTTCTAGTTCCACTAACAATGCAGTAGTAATGTTGACAATGTATGGGCTGAGAAAATTACGAGGAGTAAATAAATGTATTCACATCAAGCTATTCTCTGGGCTATTGACTCACTCCCAGTGTTTTGACCTGGACGTTTAGTGGGGTCTTTGACATCTTTTTACACTGAAACTAAAAGAAAACCCAGATCCCAATAATGTAAAGAAACCTAAGGGTCAAATGGGTGATAGTGATTTCTGAAAGCTTCTTAAAATTTATGGCCTCTGAGGGCAAAATTTAAAAAGAAAGAATAATCTTTTCTTTATCTTATTTTGCGAATCTCCACAAAATATTTTCTTCTTTTTAGATCCTTTGTTTACTTTAATTTCTAACTTTTCATGAGTAACTCTTTGTTTTTCCTCTTGGTTAAGTAGTTTATAATTGAAAGAGACTATTCCTAAGGTTTCCAGTATGTAAATCTAACTAATTTATATTTTATAATCTCATGGGTAATATTATTGTGGGTTTAATTGATATCTATGAGTTCTGTTTGTAATTTTCTAGTAAGAGACTTAATCCTCTAAGTTACTCAAAATCTTTGTAACTCTATATAGGGTATCTGAAGAATTAAATATATGGTATTATATAAAACTAATAGATTAAAATCAGAATTCTGAAATAAGGTATCAAAAATACCTACATTATAATGTTATGATATTATGAAACTGGTTTTCATCTGGAGTATAGTCCACTCATATAAAGCAATTATCTGCCAGGTTTCCTTTAATTATATGAATAGCTTATTAATTCCTTATAAATAAATGTTTCCAAATAGAACAGTGATAGCAAACAGACACACCTTTAAACAAGTCAGATAGAGGGAAAAAAATTAGTTGTTCTTTAAGGAAAACAGAAAAAAACTTCAACCAGCATTTTGATTTACAAATTCTTCTGGGTAAACTGGAAATGAAACTCGAAGGAGTTTCATGGTTACCAAAGAGAGAAATTCAATTTAACAAAATGATTTTGTGTCAACTCAAGCATTACTCCTTAGATTAATCCTGATATTTCCTACCTTAGTTGGAGGATCAAGACTCAAGACTCAAAGTTCCTTACTTGCTCACAAAACACTAAACTTGGCCAAGTTAGACCAGCTTTCAGACTCTCTCCGTCACCTACCTCTCTCTTCTCCTTTCCCTTCCTCTTTCCACTTCATCCAGCTAAGCAAGGGACCCACTGGTGGGCACCTGGAAAAGAGTCTCTGCTAACTCAGATGCAGTAATGCTCCTCTCCCCGTTACACCAGAAGCACAGAGTGGGAGGAGAATTCTTGCCCCAACAGTGGGGGCCCCTATGGTTATGGGAGTCCATCTAGGTGGAGTTGTCCCAAGGAAGTTCAAATGGCCTGAAGTCAAAGAGAACACTGGGCAAAGAAGGCAAAGTCATGGGTGTCCCCATCAGACCAACAACAACATGTCCTGATCAGGCAGTCAGATAATAATTGACAAGAAATGCATAATCTGGTTTACCTGTTAGCTCCCTAGCACAAACACACATCTGATTACTATCATTGGCTCATTCTGATTGTATTTGGCCATGTGAATTCACAGAAAGAGCTCAAATATTCACCTTTGCTCACAATTTTGGACTCCTCTGTAGAGGCAAAGGAAATTTTGCTGGGTAAAATCATGGTCCATAATGAACTAATCAGAGCTGTGGCCTCTCTGTAGTTGACTAGACTATTTTATTCTAGATAATGTTTTCTCTACAAAAAGTGTACTTAAACCTTGGAATTGTGAGTTAATGGTTTGGCATGGCTTTGGCAATGGGCTTAATCTGAAAATTGCTCAGTGCTTAAGAACAAAATGATTCAGGGTGTTTGTCTACTGTAGTGTACTGGAACAGCCTGTACTTCTGCTTGGAGACTGGCTGGTATTAGGAGTAGAGTAGGTGATCTCCTCTCTCTACTGACACGGGTACTATTTAGGAGGAAAAGGAATTCCTTCCCAATTTTCAACTAGAAAAAAGAAATTTCACTGTTCACTGTTGTCAAAAATTATCCTCTCTCTACTGACACGGGTACTATTTAGGAGGAAAAGGAATTCCTTCCCAATTTTCAACTAGAAAAAAGAAATTTCACTGTTCACTGTTGTCAAAAATTATCCTCTCTCTACTGACACGGGTACTATTTAGGAGGAAAAGGAATTCCTTCCCAATTTTCAACTAGAAAAAGAAATTTCACTGTTCACTGTTGTCAAAAATTATCCTCTCTCTACTGACACGGGTACTATTTAGGAGGAAAAGGAATTCCTTCCCAATTTTCAACTAGAAAAAGAAATTTCACTGTTCACTGTTGTCAAAAATTATCCTCTCTCTACTGACACGGGTACTATTTAGGAGGAAAAGGAATTCCTTCCCAATTTTCAACTAGAAAAAGAAATTTCACTGTTCACTGTTGTCAAAAATTATCCTCTCTCTACTGACACGGGTACTATTTAGGAGGAAAAGGAATTCCTTCCCAATTTTCAACTAGAAAAAGAAATTTCACTGTTCACTGTTGTCAAAAATTATCCTCTCTCTACTGACACGGGTACTATTTAGGAGGAAAAGGAATTCCTTCCCAATTTTCAACTAGAAAAAGAAATTTCACTGTTCACTGTTGTCAAAAATTACCTTTTATTTTTTACTTTAACCTGTTCTTGATATAACTCCAGAGCCAGCATACACCCAGATTAGGATGGTGCTGTCTCTGCTCATAAAATATTAAGGGATATTTCCATTTTTAATCATTTCCCTGGTGTATTTAACAAATTGAAAGGCACTTAGCTATTTCCATGAGTAATCTTAGTACTTTTTCTATGAACTATAATGTCTACATTTCCAAAATTGCATGTGTATTTTTGCCATAAATTTCTCAGTTTAATGTCCTATGTACCCGAGAATGCTTTCATTTTTGGTAATTCATGTTGGAACAAGAACTTTTACAAGCCCTGAGTTTCCCTCCAGGGAAGTGTTTCTTCTTCTTTTTTGTTTATGGATCTGAGGAATGATATGGATCCTCTGCCCCAGAAAAATACGCATGTTAACACACAGTGTTACCCATCATTTCAGGGGTCCTCAGACTCCATTAAAACCCTTGCTCTAGAATGTGACATTGCAAGGTCTTCCATGTATCTACTTTCTTCAACTCTTGATTTTGTGTATATCCAGCTTCTATTTGGGGGCTGCAATCATGAAATTAAAAATAGGCAGAAATATGGGTCCATAAGCCAAGAGTAATTAAAATTTAAAGTTTCCCCAAACACTTACAGTAATTGTAATATCAATTAAGAGCAACTAGAAACACAAACTCCTAAAATGAATATTTGCATGATTTAGCTTTGGTAATTGAATCATCCTTAAATGAATGGAAAAGGGGGCACACTTTTTGTCTTCCAGTCTTCCTAAGACCTACCAGGAAAGAATGTTGGGGGAATTTAAGGAGAAACATAAAGAGAAACAAAAGAAAGTCTTCATTAGAGTGAAAATCTGAAATGATTGTAAATCAAGACTGGAATCTCCATTCTCTTGCCCCTACTTGAAGTAATTCAAATTTCTCATTCTCCAGAATCAGGCAGACTAGAACTTTTCATTACTTGGTACTAGAGGTCTCCAGCCTTAGGTTTCCTAGTCACCTTTTCAAATAAGTTTCAGTGAAAACATCTTAAATGTTAAGAAAGGAAGACAAGGAAGTCAGAAATGATACACACATAAAATCAGTTTTAAATAACTAATGCTTTCAATCAAGTTAAGAGGTAAGAAGTCAACTGCCAAAGAGGATGGGAAAGAAAACATGAAATAAATGCCACTCTGTATGTGGAAAGCAATCAGATGTGCATGAAAGGTATTTACAAAGGTTCCAGAAGAGCATGCTGTATCCCACAAAAGCACTCCCATGTGGACATTTCAGGACTTTCCAGTTATTTATAGAATTAGTTTAAAACCATTACTATAGAAAATGAGGTTGTATGGGGACTTGTGCATAACGAAGTGTCAATCTATAGGCAAATAAATTATCATGGACTTTATTATACCAGCTAGCCAGAGTGAGTGCAACTTGAGCCAAGCCGACTTTGAAAGAGAAGGGAAGTAGCACTTTCTTTGCCTCAGTCTATAACTGGGGGAGTCTGGTAGGACCCACTCAAATCATAGGTCTTGGCATCTCCTTTTAAAATTCCTCAGTAAGATGTCCAGCTGGAAGTTCTGGAAGAGAGGGTTTTAATCAGTTGGGGACCTCACCAATTTTCTTCCAGATCTTAACAGATTAATGGTCAAGGCTTCATAGCCAAACGCTGAAAAAAAGATTGTTATAGCAAGTACATACCTGTGGCAGTTTGATATCATTAATATCCCAGCTTAACATCTCTTTGTCTTCAGAATCAAAGTCGTCAGGTTCCATGGTAAGGTCAGGTTACACACAGATTTCTGTCTATTCAACTTCCCTCAGAATTGCTTGAGAATTTTCCTCTCAGAGGTTCTTGATATAGTGGAATCAGTTCACTCAAGTGGCTTAGACCAGGAGACTGTTTTCTGAGGCTGAAAAATAAATGATCGTGATACTGATCTATGAAGAGATAAAAATCAGTGCTTGTGCTTGTCTGTCAGAAAACACTGTTTCATTGACATTTTTGCAAGTACCAGCATACTAATAAAAAACAAAACATAGAAGACATTAGCAATCTTGCTGAAATAAAGTTTGACCACTGGAAATTAGAAGCATAGTGATCATGGCTTTCACCCTTAGGCTCAGGCTTCCTTTCTCATTGCTAGACCCAGGTTGCGAAAGGCTTAGACTGTTGTCGGTAGTCCAATGGTTAGGACCTTTTCCTCTGTAAACCTGTGTTGGGGCGAGAGTGGCTTGGAGTTGTTTCCATGGAAATGCCTTCACTAATTGGCTAATGTGTGATTAAGGTCACAAAAAGGGAGGAAACAACACGTTCCATTTATCTAGAAGTTTTTTTTTAAATCCAAACTGCCTTAGGGATTAATTAATTTTGGTCTCCTCAATAAATCCTGTGTGCATTGTATATCTTCAGATATCGTTTCTTAACCTCTGCACTATTGCTATTTGGACCAGATAAGTTTTTGTTGGTGTGGGGCTATCTTGTACATCGTAGAATGTTCCTTAGCTTCCCTGGTCTCTACCCATTAGGTGCTAGTAAAAGCACTCCCCACCCAAGTTGTGACAACCAAAAACATCTCTAGACAAATATCAGGGGTGGGGTAGGTTTGAGAACCGCTGCTTTAAAACAGTGTTTCTCAACCATTGTTTAACCCAAAGCACCCTTTAAGACTTTCTGACTTTATCTTCAGCAATGTCATTCTCCCCCACCCCCTCAAGAAGATTCTGTTTCATTTCTTTGATTAAATTACATTATGTAAATGATATTCAAAAATGTTTCTTCAAATTGCATTTCTTCCCTCACAGAAATACTGCTCTAATGTCTAACCGTAATTTGTTAAAGGGGATTAACAAAGGAAAAAAGAAAGAGAGAAAGAAAGAAACTTAAAATGTTCTACCCTGAGAAAAAAAGAATCATTTCACCACAAAATGTGCTTGTTCGTAGTATATGAAGTGAAACATGTTCACATGTACACGTTTCCATTTGTTGGTGTTATTATGAAAACAAGGGACATGATGGTATGTAGAACTAAATAGTAAATTCAAAGTTAGATTAATAGTCTAAACTTTAGGAAGTCCCATGAACTCCGTTCTTTAGATATTTAACTTTATATAATCCTAACACTTAACAATCGCTGAATCCTACTGAGGGAAAGTGTGTGTATATAGAAAACTGTTGACCCAGACAAATAAATGAAGTTCTTGACCACTAAATAACAAGCTAAACTGAGTTTCTTTCTACCCTATCCCACTATCCATACTCAGTTACAACCTGGTGGTTGTGGACTCAAAGAGCATGAAGTCCCTGCTCCCCAATTCAAACATTGATGTTCAAAACAAAATCCCCATGAGTTTTAAGTAAAATTCTATGTTTGGAAAATAAACATTGAGTTACTGAAGACATGATGCCACAGATTGACTGTAATTTAAAGGACTTAAACGACAAATATAGAAGACACTGAACAATAACCACAAATGGCCCAAATTTTGTTATGGTTAATTGGGATAGATCCATTTTTTTAAAAACCTTGGAAAACAAGATTTATATTTTCAAAAATTAAAAACTTTTTTTAAGCTTAGGCAAGGTAGACAGACATGTTTCTCTTGTTTGTTTTTAAATGAAGGGAGGGGAATTGAAAAATCTTACTGCAGAAAAACTATCTTGCTTTTTAGATTTTTTTCTGATATAAACTTTTGCCAAATGAATGACCATTAATTTAATATTACCCTGAAAGTTAAGAACAAAACATAGAAAAGAAGAAAAGGCAGAAAAACTATCTTGCTTTTTAGATTTTTTTCTGATATAAACTTTTGCCAAATGAATGACTATTAATTTAATATTACCCTGAAAGTTAAGAACAAAACATAGAAAAGAAGAAAAGACTATTTGACAGTCCATGAACAAGTAAACTCAGTTTTCGTCCAGGATTAAAAAACTAAATTTGTCAAGACTTCCTTTTTTAAAGCAACTTGGCCAAAATGTATTCCATTTTCATCATTTCTACAGAAAACAAACTGGAATGAATGAAACCCTGTCAGAATGGGGTGGCCATTACCACATCGATTACACTCACCTCTCTTCAGGATTTCTGGCTTCCTTACCTTCTGACTTCTTATGCAGGTGCAGGCAGTACTGTGTCACAAAAATCTCGTCGCTGGTTCAGGTCCCAGCAGACCTGGTCATTTTCTGAGCAGACGCTATTCCCTATTTCAGGTCAGGGTACACTATGCTAATGAGCTCTGGCCACAGTCCAATCAAAACCTAGATGCGCTCATCTCAGGATAGGTAAGATGAGCTTGGAGAGTCACTTAACCAGCCTGATTATTCTCAGAATGTCTGCAATGTGATGAATATTCTATGGTGTGCCTCTGAACTTTCCCCTTCTTTATGTTAAGAGAACATTTTAACTGAGATGGACATTGAAAAGAACATCATGAGGAAATACAGATGTTTTTCTTTTCATGATTTCATAGATTGGGGACAAGGCAGACTGATTCACAATAGATTCTAATCCTCCCACTATATCTACCCTGCCTGTGTGCAAAAGAGAGAAGTCAGACAGACAGACAGAGGTAGAGAGATTTTATAGTGATGGAATTTACTGGAATAGATATTGAAAAGCCAATCTCCTAAACCAGAAATGCCAAAATGCTATCCCACCGCTAACAATGATGCCCCACTAATTCTGCGTGTTCCAATCCCTTAAAAATAGTAAGGTTCTTTCTTCTAGAGAGATTCTGAGCATAGCCCAAGTCAGTTCAGTTCATCTGCTACGTTCTAGGTAGTCTGCTAGGTTCTGGAAATACAAGGGAGAATTAAAGCCATTAAGAAGTGCACTCTAGTAGAAATGTTAGACAAAGATACTAAATAAGCCCAATGTAATTTGATGTACGTAATAAAGGCAGTCTAGATGTAGAGGAGGAAGTTATTAAGTTGGTGGAAAGAGAAGCAGGGAAAACTTCTTTCACCAAAATAACACCCGATCAGCCTTTTGAAGGACAAATAGATATTTATCAAGGCATCAAGGAATGGAAAAAGGTGTTTCAGATAGTGGAGATAACATGGGCAACATTACTAGGGTCCGTATCTGTCAGGAAGGTATAGACTATCAGAGATGATAGGCTTGGGAGAAAGGAATAAGCAAGCCAGAAGGTGAAATGCGTGGGAAGCCTCACAGTCATGTTGAGCAGCTCCTAAGAGACCTTCCGCAATGCTGAGAAGATTTCTCACTAGTCTTTCAGTTTCTCACTGTTTAAGGTGCAGTATAGTTTTCTTGTACTTTATCTAACCCATCTTGGTCTCCTCCCTGCAGTCCTTTGGCAGGAAGATCCTCTCCATCTCTTAAACATATTGTATCAGGACAAAGCCTAATATTGTGCCAACTGGCAGAAGAGAAATGTCTGTAGGGTCTAGCTCCAGAATCACAAAGCAGAGCAAAGAGTTGCTTTAGAGCTGAGAGGCAGTAAATCGAGAACTGGCATACCTGTCACAATTATCCACTTGCTTAGGTCTCCTCTCTAGAGAGTCCTATCCCATCCATATACAAGGGTACTTCAAAAAGTTCATGGAAAAATGGAATTAAGCAACACAAATCTTTCCATGAACTTTTTGAAGACCCTCGTATCTAAACCCATCCATCCTTCAGGAGCCCTGAAATTCCTCCTCCTTATGAGACCTTCCCACAATATTCTAGAACACAGGATTTCTCATTTCTGTGGTGTTCTAGAATTCTTAACTCTGAATTATATGCTGTTTTATATCACTTAGGACTAACATTTTTCAATTACAAAATTAATTCATGATTTTTTTTTTTAAATCATATTATCTCTCAGAGATCCCCGCTGTTAACATTTTGGTCATGTCCTCTTAGAATTTTTTTTCCCTACATACATAACCAAAGATAAATATTATTTGCATAATTGTAATACTGTCGTACATGCTATTGCTTGTAATGGTGGACGAGTGTTAGTCCTGGCTTCCCAGCTCGGCTGCGAGTTCCTTCATGGCAAAGTTGGAGTCTTCCACTTTCCTCCTTCTCATGGAAAGACCTGCTGGATTCCCAGCCATGGCATCAGAGCCTCTTTGTCCCCAAAACCAACCCTGCTGTGACACAGGAGGGAAGGCAGGAGCTCTGTCTCCACACTCCGATTGAGCTGTGAACTTATGTCCCAGACTGACAACAGCACTTTTGCTTTCTTTTTTCTTTTCTTTTTTTTTTTTTGGTGGTAAAACTTAACACATGAATTTCCATTTTAAGCAATTTTAAACAAACAATTGTGTAGAATTAATTACATTCATAATGCTGTATAGCCGCTACTTTAACTATTTCCAAAACTTTTTGTCATCCTAAACATAAACTCTGTACCCATTAAGCAATAACTTCTCATTAGCCTCCTCCCCTTCCTGTTTCGGTAACCTCTAATCTATTTCTGTCTCTGAAATTTTTTTCTTTTTCTTTTTTCTTAACTGACCCATGATAATCGTATATATTTATGGAGTACAATATATGATATTGTGTGCAATGATATTGTGTGCAATGATCATATCAGAGTGTTTAGCATATCTATCATCTCAAACATTTGTCACCTCTTTGTGTTGGGAACATTCAACATCCTCTTGATAGTTACTTGAAGTTACACAGTCATGTGTTGTTGGCTGTGGTCTCCCTATATGGCTATAGGGCACTGGATCTTCTTTTTTTCTCCCTACAGATTTGTGCCATTGACCACCTTCTCTCCCTCCCCTCTCCCCGTCTCCTTACCAGTCTCTAGTAACC